TGGAAAAGCCCAGAGGGGTGTTGATAACAGAACATGAAACAGAACACAGGCACGATAATGTACAGATCAAGGCATTTAAGATTACCGGCCTTTTACTAGATATGAATACGTAACTGAGTAATCAAATGTATTTCTACATTAGGCACAGTTACTTAATCAACTGAAATGGAGTCATAAAAATCTCATAATATTAATGTAGTTAACTAAAGTCTATAACAAGAGGGGACTTGTCTTCGTTGATGCCATGGGGCACCACATGAACCCTCTCAGGATGGGTGACTCAGCCCGTGGTCACTGGGTAGGCTCAGTCCACCAGAGAAAAGCAATGAGTCATTTATCTCTCTTAGGTATCCTGCCCACCTATGTGCCAGTCAGTGGTATCACCATCCATCTGCTTCTCCATGCTGGAAACCTTGGAGGCCTTCTTGGTTCCTCCTTTATTACATGAGTACTAAATGGATACAAGTTCCCACCCCAGAACTGGTTGCTGCTTCTTAACATGTAACAAGGGAAAGAAAGATGGAGCCGAGGTACAGTGTAGACCAGGGTTTCTCAACCTTGGCACTAGCGACACTTGGGGCTGAAGAATTCTCTGTTGTGGGGACTGTCCTGTGCATTGTAGGATGTTGAAAAGCATCCCTGGCCTCTTACCCACCAATGCCAGTAGCACCTTCCCCAGTTGTGACAACCAAACAAATGTCTCCAGATACTGCCAAAGGTCCCTGTAGGGCGAAGTCACCCCTGGTTAAGAACCACCGGTACAGAAGGTGACAGTTACCTATCTCAGCCAGGTGTCCTGCCCCATGAAGGGGAAGGCAGGTAAAGTGAGCTGCACTCAGCACCCACTAGAGGATCCAAGGAAAGGCACGCTCCTCTCCTGGCTGACTGTGCGTATAAACTGAACAGATAATGGGTCACACCAATGGTCCATGCCAACCGATGCACATGCCATTTCAGCCGAAGTCTACCATGACGCAGTTTTGGTTTGCCCCTGAGCGTGGCCCTAAACGTCACTGAGCATCAGTTCTCTACCTTTGCTTTCCCATCAGCCCACAGAGCACTAACAGTCTCCCTCTTCCACTCAAAGCTCCTTTCTGTGCCAGTTGCAGAGGATGTGTCTGAAGCCCTGGTCACCAGGCGCCCCAGCTGCACCAGGTGTCCACGAGCCTGCCATTTCACTCAAGCCGAGAGCTGTGGTCTGGACTTCTTTCACCTGCTACATATAGCTAGGTGATGAGGAACAGCACAGGCCAAGGCCAGACAGTGGTTAAGACAGGCCAACCTCACGTCTGTGTTTTCAGGACAAGATCACTACACAAAGGCTCTTACCACTTTCCAACGTAAAGCAAAAACTGATTCGACTCTGAGACTCTTAATCCTTCCCCAAATCCAAAGTGCTTGAGTAGAAGTGGAAACTGGGGGGTTAATAGCTTACAAATGGACTGTGCTCCAACAATCTGTCTGCCTCTCCATCGGCTGTTGGGAAACACAACACATGCCTCCTTGGACACAGCGTGCTAAGCAGCAGCAACACTGACTTGCATGTGGACACTGGTTTCAATTACAAAGTCATTCAAGGTCATTATTTCCTTCAACCTATGAAAGAGCTCTGGGATGTATCTGGGGATTATTGGTCCTGTGTTCAGAAGAAGAAACTGTGGTTCACAAGGGCTAAATGAGGGGCAGTCCATAAAATGTGATTTGACCCATAATATTCTTTGTGGGGGAAACGCCCTAACCACATGGGCAGCACGTGTTCCCGGTTCCAGGGGGCAATGGGCATGCCTTGCTGCTGCTGGCTCAGAGACTCTATCTCCTTCCCTCGCATGATGTAGCTTCACATGATCCAGAACTTCCTCCAAGCCATTGACATAGCAGAGACTTGGGAGGGCTCTGGGCCCAGCCTTGTGGTGCTCTACCTACCATCCCCCTCAGGTGGGCTCAAGACCCTGATGGGCACTTGATGCAGCCACCTGGCCAGGCCATGCTCCCACCTCTTTTCCCTAGTCCTCACCCCTCAGCTCCAAGCTGCTGCTGGGGGCCCATGATGCCCAGAGCACGAGCTCCAGGGTGGTGAAGCGTGGAGCTGAGGCCGGCTAAGGAGCAGGAAGAAGCTGGGAAGCTGCTGTGAGGAGCATGAGGCCCCCGGGAAGATGGGGGAGCAGGTGGCCCAGTGAGGAGCTTCCTTACCTGTGGCCTCACCTGCTGCCTCACCACCACAGGGAGACCAGGAGGAAGACAGGTCCCACAAAGCAGCTGTTGCAGAGATGGAAGGAGGAAGGGAACAATTCCTGGTGGCTGCAGGATGGCAGGGAAGGAGAGGAGGGGCGGGGCCATGGACAGATGGCGGAAGACCATTGGGCTACAGAAGCCGGACATTTCATTTGCTTTGTTTGTTTAAGGGGGACTCACACAGTGGGCTCTTTACCACTGCTTCTCAGATATAATCAGAAATAATGGGCTTGCCAATCTACAGATACAATGCAATCCCAATCCAAATTCCAGCAGCATTTTTTAATGAGATGGAGAAACAAATCACTAACTTCACATGGAAAGGGAAGAGGCCCTGGATAAATAAAGCACTACTGAAGAAGAAGAACAAAGTGGGAGGCCTTACACTACCTGATTTTAGGATCTATTATACTGCCACGGTAGTCAAGACAGCCTGGTACTGGTACAATAACAGATACATAGACCAATGGAACAGAGTTGAGAATCCACATATAAGCTCATCCACGTATGAGCAGCTAATATTTGACAAAGGCCCAAAGTCCATTAATTGGGGAAAAGACAGTCTCTTTAACAAATGGTGCTGGCATAACTGGATATCTATATGCAAAAAACTGAAACAAGACCCACATCTCACACCATGTACAAAAACTAACTCAAAATGGATCAAAGACTTAAATAT